ATATGTATATTTAGGTAATAATGTGTACCTTTAAGGTACTAAAATGTACCTAGGGGTAAATAAGGTACACAGAACCAGAGGTTTATTATTATTATTATTATTATTGTTGTTATTATTTGTAAAAGTTTTTATGTACTTGTGTTAAACCAATTTCATTTTATATATATATATATATATATATACCACATGTCTGTTTGTGTCTGTCAACAATTTTAAAACAACATGAACATTTTTGCAATCTTCATTAGAATCAGTTTATGAATCATTTAAAGGGGAACTGAAAGAGACAAAGAGATTTTCCGATGAAAAATGCAAACTTTAGTAAATGACGCCTGACAAAACATCATGGGGAATCTGTCTTTAAAAAGTAACAGTGCAAATGTCACTATGGACACTATGATGTTATATTATGAGTTATGAATGACCTCATACATGAATGCATTTCTTCATTTTAGTTACGGTATGTGTGAGTAATGGAGAACTCTGGTCTTACTGTGGCAAATATGATTGAGAATGAAAATCGGCTGCACTGGACCAGCATGGGGATAATGGCCCTGACCTAAAGCATGGACAATGAGACTATTGTCCCAGTGGAGACAGCACTGTGCACACCAGTGTATGAGAAGCCTGTGTTTGCAGGAGGGCTGTGCTGGGTCTGCTGGTCTGCTGACACATTTTTGCACTCTTTCACTAAAAGAGGCTGACTAACAGGTGGTTAGACAAATGACTCACCTGTCTAATTAATCTGGTGCAGAGATGAGGAAACACATTCAGTACTTCTTCTGGACACCTGTGTTCTGTATTACACCTGCAATGCAGCAGATTGAACATTTACATGATACAGCTAAAGTATCATATGTGGTATATTTTATAGGCTACGACAGATTCAGTTCCGATCCACAAATTTGATTGGCTGAGTGACATTCCAGACATGTTGTCAATCTATGCAGTGTTTGCAGGGATTGTTCAGGGACTCTTTCTACAGGATACATATTATGTAAACAAGTGGCTACAAGTGAGTGACTGCATCTGAATATGCATATTTACTTATACAGTAAGCAAAAACAGTATGTAAAAAATGTGTAGTATGCCAGAATTCACAGTAGCCTATTTATAAAACAGTAGGCAAAAAGTACCCAGATGACCAACAACAACATTCTAAAGTGAGCATTAATCTGACACTTTACTATCACATGAAGCCACGGGAGAGGCATAGAACCTACTTTTTAACACTGCTGAAGTAGTTACTGCATTGCTTTGCTGGAATTATGAAAGATAAAAGCATTAGTAAAAATGAGTAACTTAGAAAGTTGTTGAGAGTTTGATACTGTATATTCATGTATGCAAGATCGCAGGAAGTGTATAAAAGTTAACTTGAACATTGAGCATGTTGGAAGGAGAAAAAGAAACAGGGAGTGGATGAAAACAACAAAAAGAAGAAATTGAACACCAGCACAGACTTGGTGAAACAGTGCCAAACAGGATTCAGTGCTCTAGCTTTTCTCATAATGCTCAGACCTTCATTCAGTCAGCCTGGGTCTCACCAGCTCTAGACAGCATGCCCACAGACACGCCACTGACCGATTTATGTCAATAATCAAGTCTGGCTCTGCGAGTCTCAATCAGCTCCAGATCCAGGTATTGCTTACCTTCTCAGTCTTTTAACTCTTTTAACTCTCTCTATCTGCTTGAACCATAATTCCAGTCTCTTTTTCTGGAGTGACCCATTAATTTGTCCATTTGATCATCATATATGAGTCCATATCTTCATCTCTTTAAGGAAATACAAATACCATGATGGAACACTAATGCAGGACTGCAAATTGAAAAGATCTTAATTTTTTTTTCAAACCAGTTGCGATGGCGGTTTAAATTCTTTAAGACAGTTCACTCAAATATAAAAAATCTGTTATCATTTGTTCATTATGTCATCTGCTTCATTCCAAATCATAATGTTAAATTGGTCCGAAACACAAAAGGATTTAGCAGAATGCAAGAAATAATGTCACATTTGAAGGATGGTCAGAATTCCCATTTTTGGATGAACTATCCCTTTGTTATTCTTAAAACTGAGATAAAATGGAAATAGGGTGTGATGTAGGCTTACATATGAGCATAACAAATTTTTGAAAAAGAAAAAAAATGTAGGATGAGGGTTCCATCTATTGGTTGTTAATTGGATTTTGATGAATGAATGGTTTTTAGCCATCTAAATGATTGGAGAAGTCTGGCATACGTCGCCAGAGAGAAGTCTATCATTTTCACCAGAAGCTCGAGTTAAGACATTTGGATTAAACATTACAATGTCTAAATAAAAAAATATCTAGCATAGCGTTAGTTCTGGCAGGTCACGTTAGTCAAGCTCGCATCAGCTGACTCTCAGCTGATCCCCATCAGCCTATGGGAATACGAGACCTATCTAAGCATTCATATATAAGGTCCCTCAGTATTATCAGCAGTTTTCGCATTGCTCAATAGCTAATTACCCTCCTCCATCCCCAACTCCTCCTCTGTCAGTCAGGATTCAGCCTTCTGATTTCTGATCTGATTCCTTTGAATCAGACTAATTCTAAAATGTGTACATAACATTATTGAACTTAAACGATATCTGCAATACATTTATGTTGGTTCTGTTCTGTTTACCCTGGGGGGGTTATCGCTGCTCTCCCTGCTCTCATCCATGCTAGGCTACATGGATGCGCAGGGAGTTCTTGCCCAGAACAGAACCATACCGCCAATCCAAACTGTATGCTAATTGTAAATCATCGTTGACGATAGTGGTCCTGACAGAAATTAAATGCATACATAGATGAAGCATTCACAATAGGATTCATAACATGCATTTACAAAATAGACAGGGTCCATTTTCATTTTATACTGACTTTAATTAGTGGTATGAGTGCAGGTGCTGTGGAGAATGTGGATGTCATGCTCCGTTCTGATATATCTGTGTGGTGTGCAGGAAAGTGTGAAATATTTGACAGAATTAGGCAGGCTAAGACGGGAAATGCTTGCTTGAATGTGGATTTTTAAAGTCCAGTGGTTGCTAATGGAACAAAAAAAAGTGCATAATGCAAGAACTTTGTACTCCCTCTTGGACAGCTCTGAAGAACATGAAGAATTTTTTTCATACTACTGTGCCAATGAAACAAACCCAGTCTTTCTTCTCATTTTCCCACAAACACATTCTGATTTAAACAGTATTCTGATCTCAAGCATTTCTGCCACGCAAGCACTGTGACTGTTTTCTGGGGTGAGATCTGTGGTCAATCTTTCTGACGCCTTGTTGCTTTACTCTGATACTATAATAAGTAACTAGACTGTTGCAAAATGCTGCAAGAGATTAATGCCGCATGTTCCTGCCGTCAAAGAATTTATGAGTGAGACCAAAATGATTAGCTTTGATATCACATGTGTTATTCCAAGATAGCAGTCCAGCATGGAAATATGGAAAGCTATCTAGCAGCTATCTAGAAACTTGTGTGCATGCCATGTGTTGACCATGTGAGCCACTCTGGACATCTGAATTGAGTGCCTCTCATATAAATGTTGGAAGTTATTTGGTGGAATAATCATTTTCTCACATAAAGTCATTGGAATTTTCACTCCCAGAGGACAACAAACACATAAATAACTTAAATTTGGCTCTATAATAAGGCACTCATGGCTCAAAACATAGGACTGCTTTAGATTATCAGGCCTGTTGTCATTTTTTCTCAGTTGTGGGTGAGAAGGGGGCAGCTGGAGACTGTTTATTCCCAGAGAGTAGCTAGATCATAGGGTCAACCGACAGGAAGAATCCCGCTTAGGAGCCCACACCGGAAGAGTCCGCTCTTCTTCCAGCTGTGGTTGCCTAGTTGTTGCTCAGATTTGTTTGTGTTCATTTTTTTATGTGTTTGGACACTTTTCACATCTGGCAGTGGCCGTGGAAAAAAAAAGCCTTTCTTTCTCATTCTCCACCTCCACCAGACAGATATTTTCCTCTCTAGCGCTCTGATTCATGGCTTTCCCATGTTTTTTTTTTAGGATTGTTACCAATCAGTCTGGCTCAGTGTATGATGGATTGCTCGGTTGTATGTTCACTAAGAGACAAATGCTTGCTTAGGAGTTCCATGACAACTTCATTGACTATTTTTGTTTTTTGTTCCCAGTATCTTGTTTCCACAAATGAATCTAATTATGTAACAAATACTCTTAAAGTGACTCATATCAGCAGTTTTGCAGCTGTTAAACATCAAATGGAAAACACCATTTTTGTTTTGCCTCTGTGGAGGAGGGAAGAACAGGAAGTGAGTAGGGGACTCCACCTGGAATATCAAGGTCTTTTCCGTCCTCCACAACAGCATGTAAACACACATCTGTTCGAAATAAGTCCATCTGCTGCACTGATGGTGATTTGACCAATTTTTATACCATTCCAGAAAATCTTGAACAATAGAAACTAAAGATGCATCACATGTTTCTTACTACCTAACCATCTTCTAAAGGCTTTAAAATAAAAACATGGTATTAACATCTTAATGTATTTCTTAAAGGGATAGTTCAGCGTTTCAAAAATATCTTCTTTTATGTTCCACAGAAGATGAAACTCATATAAGTTTGGAACTGCATGAGGGTTAGAAAATGCTAATAGAATTTTCATTCTTGGACTGAATATCCTTTTAATAATTCAGTTATTTTTAGTAATACGTTTAGCATGTTTTTGAGCAGTAAGCTGAGCAAGTAGTAAACAGGTGAGCCAAGTTTACAGATGGTGATTTCTGTGTGACGTTGTAGATATATGTCCCTCGTGATTCAGCCTTCTAAATTTAGACATAAACTTGACGATTATTCATGGTTGCTTGGAAAGACGGACCGCACACCTGGATTCTGACAGAGACTTTTTTATGTGGATTCCTCTGCTAGTGCTTTCTCTCTCTCTCTCTCTCGCTCTCTCACTCTGTCCCAGCTGTGGTGGTACTATGCAATTCTGTCCTCCAGAACTTCAGAGCATTCAGTAAGAGACATGAGCGAGCAGCAGAGACAAACAAACAGTGAGAGCTGGACTGTAGACGGTCAGCCAAAGGCTCAAAGGTGTAAACACAGGACATAGCACTGAGATTGTGAGTAAACAAGGCCATGCAGCAACAGAGTGGATCTTTCTTGGGCTAAAAAAGATGGTGAGTGAGCTTGAAATTGCTTATGGGTTTTTAAGAACTTGGTATTTGGTATATCTAAACACTCTAAATAGGAATTTTGGATAATTTTATTACTTCGATTTGGGCTGCTGTATAAGTGAATGAAGAAATGCATAATGCTGCACTAAATCAATGTATATTGCATAGTATTTATCAGATTTATGCAGAGAACATGAGTGCTCAAATGAATTCAAATATATAATGCAAAATACTTAGTATATATGTTTTTATTTTTATTTTTAATATAGTTCAATAAATTAATTTTATAGTTTAATATTAGAATATATTTTTAATTGCCATTATAAGTATTTATATATTCATTTTAAGCATAGATTTATTTTTATTTATTTATGTTTTAATGTGTTTTTTGTTGTATTTATTTAACTGCTGCCTGTCTAGGTTGTGATTTTTTCATAAAAAACATTTTAAATCTCAGTTTGATTTAACATTGTCATGGTTTTAACATAGGGAAAAAAACATCAGACCTTCATGTTTCCAGTCTTTGGTTTCTATTTACCAGATTCACCTACTGTTCGTGCTACATTTAGCTGTATGTTCCTCTTGTGGTTTCCTCACTTCTCCCTGTAACTCTTACATACTGCCATGTGTCTATATAAGTGTGTGTGTGTGTGTTTGTATGTGTGGCCTGTATGATTATAGCCCCTGTAAGAGGAGCTTTGTGGTTTGTGCTATGTGGTTGAGTCTATTTTCTGCTGCAGAGGGCAGGACACAGTGGCATAACTGCAGACTTTATGACACGTTTCAGAGGCAAGCCACTTACCAGCATAAAAAACTCCAGTTGAACTGCTATTAGGTGTATTTGTTTGTGTACAAGTATCTTTGAATCAAGGCGTCAGTATATGTCTGTTTGTGCATTAATGTCAGTGTCTCTGTATTGTCCGGCTGTGTGTGTATGTGTGACAGTGAGAGCAGTGACCATATTCAGTATAGTGACAGAGGCTTTCTGTTCTCTCTTCCCTCTGTGTCATTCACTGGACGTGATTGTGAGAGGCGGCCTGCAGGAACTGCCAGCTGCACTTGCAAACATGACATCAGGAATGAAGGGAGGGAGAGGCTAGCTAGGGGAAGGAGCAAAAGAAGAGGAAGTTTGGTTTTGAACCAGCTGAGTTAAATGTCCGTCATCATCCTAATCAATATTCATTCACTGTACCTAACCTGTCTTTGCTTGTTTGGAGAAGCAAAGCATCTCATTCCAGTCATTTCCCTGACTGGACATGCCAGCAGAGGAAAGAGATTTCCTTGCATTAATCTCACAAGGCTTTGGCTTTCAAACCTCTGTACAATTTAGGATGTCCTTTTAGATACATTTCAAGGAAACAGTTGACTCATTGGAAAACTGGCAGATTAAGGTAATCTTTTATATATGTTATATTATACTATGTTATAATTGTCACGGTCAACAGGAAGGGACCCAAATGCAGAGTGAGTGAAACAAGATTTATTGAAGACACAAGTTCACAGCACAGGGGTGGACAATCTTGGGACAGCTCCAACCAACAGGGAGAGATCAATGCCCTGAGAGGTAGACAGTCTGGGGTACAGTCTCAGTCGTTGGTCAAATCGGGACGGAAGGATGGGGAGAAAACCAGAGCAGAGAACAGCAGAGCATGCAAGCAGAGTGAAGGGGCTCAAAGCAGGCAGCATCAGAGATTCGGTTCTCAGCACCAGGCTTTGTTGGCAGGCCGCCTTGGGGAACCAACAGGCAGGGAGTCTCAGGCTGGTAGAGCAGGACTGGAGGGAACAGCACGAACACACAAATACACAAAGCACCACACAACAACACTACTCAGCGCAACATGTACAAAAGGGGGAAAAATTAAATAAAAAGTAAAGCAAAACGTAATGGAAATATCCAAGTTTAGACAAAAAAACAACAACTAAAGTATAAAATCTAAACAGTTCAAGAGTAGAAACAAGACCGATGAACAACTAAATATGATATTACAAGTAAATATAAGCAAGATTATTAAACAAAACCAAAATCAGATGGGGGAGAGGTGAGGGAAGGAGGTAGAGGGGGATTTCAGGTTAGGGATGTTCCAAAATGACTGATCTGCTGTGATGTGTGTACTGACCTGAGGTCTACTCCAGTTTGTTCACACTAATGTGCCTGTGTCTGTACCATAGATACTTGGCTGCATCTGTTCACTGTGAGTCTGGGTGTGCATTTGTTTGTGTGCAAGATGAGTCACACTGACTCATGCTGTGTATTTCAACTAAGATGCAGACTCCGGTCTGTTCACGACAGTTGGTTAATCACAGTATGCATTTGTTAGATCATTGCATGACTGTATTTTGTCTATAATAAGGAAACACCTGATGTGTTTTATAGTTCACTGTTAAGATCAAAGACACAAGCTTTAAATATTGTAACTGTGCCAGATCCACATATTTATTCTAATAGTCTGTTAATGTTGTATAAATAAAACAAATATGAGTTGTGATTTTGACTCATTACATGTAAGTTCAATCACATTTTATGAGATATAACCTAATCACCCCTTCAACTAAGGCCATTTTTGGACTTTTAAAACATCTTGCTGTTTATCTTTATGTAATTCCAGGATCTTAACGAATGTCATGAAGTGATCGATAACGCCATAGACATGGACAGGCTGAATCGGAATGTTCCAGAACACAGCCGTCAGACTCATCAGGTCTTACGGGTGAGTGTGTGAGCTGAGAGGGTGAATCTTACATTTCAGAATTTCACACACACACACACACACACACACACACAAATGTTGGGTTTCTATGTTTTATGGGGACATTCCATAGGTGTAATTATTATTTTGAATAAGGTACAAACTGTATTTTCTATCACCCTACACCTAAACCTACCCCTTCCAGGAAACATTTAGCATTTTTAGATTTTCATAAAACTTAATTCTGTATTATTTATAAGCTTTTTCCTCATGGGGATCAAAAAAGGTCCCCACAAGGACAAGGATTTTGGATATTGCCATCTTTGTGGAGATATTTTGTCACCATAATGCAGGGTGTAACCCCCCCCTCACACACACACGCACACACACAAATCAACAGCTTGATCTATATAAAGATTCAAAAGTTATTTTTAAAGAGTTGGTTACTGTTGGTTATCTGCTTAATCTTCAATAGAATCTTACAAAAACAGAATATAATATAAGGTGTTAAACTGTCTATATCAGCAAATCTGGGGGTAAAAAACTAAACAATAGACAAAGAATTCTGAAAAAATCCTAGGTTTTGTCACCTAGGATGAACTGATCCCTAATTATAGGGTTAATCTTAATCACTGTTGCTTCGAGAGGCTGAGTTCAGCCTTTCTGTCTGCATTTAATCTTGCTCCAACACTGCACTGTATTCAACCAATCAAACATTACAGGGTCTCATAAACATCAAGCCGTTAGTTCAGCGCACCTGTTAAAACTTCACTAGTAAAGTTGAGTACACACACTCACAGAAACAAACAACTGAGCCGTATGTGGAAAAAATGTCAGAGGACAATGGAAACTGAGCAGCTTTATATGTAGCCCTATTATCCGGAGATGACAGGATAAGATATGAAAGCTAAAGCAAACTACAGTGACATTTAATCACTTTAGAAAGAATTCATATATTGTTATTAGAAGCCTTATTGCTGTTCAGTTTTAAAGGTTATTTTTTTGGACACTGGTCCTAGACTCCTACAAAAAAGATGATGTGAAGACACTTTAAAGAAGTGTAAAATCTTTATTTAACTGGTGAATGGTGTGAACGTTAGTGGGGTAAAGTCCATTCATACCACGAATATGGGACTAAAAACAGTCAAGCACAAAAGCAGCTATCACAATCACAACCCATGTAATAGATAATTCCCCACTATATGTATAACATGCTTTCAATGCAAATTTTGCCTGATGTATTGTTGATTAAACTATATTTTACTTCGTGAAGTAGCTGTTTTCACATTGCGGCTACTGTAACTTAACCTGGGCCATCCTTGTGATGTCAGAACATTCTCCCTTTTTTCCAAACGAAAACAAACTTCCTCGATTTTTTTGTATGTTTATTTTGTATGCAAATTTGTTTTCGCCCCGGCCCACTGGATAATCCCAATGGTCTGTCCATTCCTAGTAAATTCAGAGTTTTACATCCCAGAAGGGGAAAAGAGACTGATGTGAAATTTCCACTGGTTGCTCTTCAGTTACCAAAATCCTTTCTAGTGCATTAAAGACTGTGTAATTTCTAACATCATTTAAGACACAAAATAAATGAAATATGCCAATTCCTTATTAAAAACATTAATTATACCATTTGTTTCTATGTAGAACAGCACTCCCTCAAACATCAAAGTGCGACTTACCAAGCAAATAATCCCCATGCTGCCCTTGAGAACCTCCATCTGTGATATGCTGAGGCCAAATATGTTCCTCCTTTGGTCATTTATTGGTCTTGTCCCTTGTCTTTCATCTAACAGCTAAATCCTGTTAGCCTCTTAGCCTGCATGGTGGTACCTGATGGAGCTAAACCCGTTTAGTCTAGTTAGCCTCTTACCCTGTCACTGCAGTACGCAATGGCCCTAACTGAATTACACTAATCCTGTTTTAGGAACCCTGAGCAGTACAGGTCACTTTAACGGTGATCAAAGGTTGTAAAATATGATCCGTTGTATTGCCCTCATATGTTCACAGAGCACACCACTGGACCTGATTGAAACAGGCAAGACTCTCAAAGTCCAGGCAGAACGACCCCATCTTGTCAGCTTGGGAAGTGGCCGTCTGAGTACGGCTATAACCCTGCTGCCCTTGCCAGAGGGTAAGTGTAGTCACCTTACTATAAAGTAACTGAATGTAATACACATCCTCATGAAGTATCCACGGCAGATTCTGTCTACCAAATTAGATGCAAACACTGTCGTTTGTGCTTAGTGGCAATGCTTTCAAATTCTGAGACCTAATTATATGATCGTACAAGCAGAAGGGATGTCAACTGAAAAACTGGAGACTACAAATAAAGATTAGTATTTGTGCGTGTTTGTGCGGTGATGGGCAGGAAGTTCATGAGAGAGGACAAACCTCACTGTACTGTCCTCATAACTTGGCTATGCTTCGTCTCATGAAGAATGACAAATAGAGGACTTCTCCTCCCCTGACATTGAGGAAGAATGAGAGCAAGCATGCAAGTATAAATCCCAGAGGAAGTGAATGTAGTGCACTATTCATCAGTGAATTGTTTCATAGTGGATTGAATACAATTTCCTGTGCTCATGTCAATAGATACATAGAGAATTCATTATAATTAATAAATTAAATATATATATTGGTGGGATCCACCCATATGACAGATCTAGTATTGATTGAGGTTTCAATTTAGGACTGAGTATTGAGGTTTCAGCTGTTTCTTGTAAATTGCATTCACAATGGAAGTGGCTTTAGAACAAGAGACAGAATTATGAGGCTATGACCTGACTTTGACACAACCCCCTGTTGCTTCACAGTGTGACTGAGCTTGCTGGAGTGAGAGCACATTTGTCTTGGGGAATGTGTATTACTGCCTAGAAATGTCTTCTTTTAAAGAATGAATTATGTTCATCTTCAATCTTAAGTGCAGCATGCACCCACCCCTGTCACTTGCTTCCTACCACTGTCTCTATCGCATCTGCTCTCACAATAGGCTTGGGTTATGGCTCTTTTACTCACATCTGCTTCATAGACACTTTGAATGAAATAACTCAGACAGGGCCGGTCACTTTAAGGGGGAGTGGGGGTTTGTCTGTCTTCTCTTTGTTAAAGAAGCAAACATTAACCTGTTCTTTTGCTGCAAACCTTGTGCTGCAGCATTTCATATATTATTGCAACATTTTCAAGTCTTGTAACAATTTAAAATGAGTAATTAATTAAGTGTTATCTTTCCAATACATCCTTTTTAAACCTTTTATTGTTACACCTTATGTCTAATCAGTGTAGTTTTAATGTAGCAATAATAAACTGAATCTCCATCACATGTTGCAGGGAAGACTACTCTCGGGCATGGGAACACAGATATTAATATTCAGGGTCCGGGTGTCACAGCTCAACATTGCTACATTGAAAATGTGGGGGGAGCCATCACCCTGTACCCCTGTGGAAATCAGTGCTCAATGGATGGCTTAGCTGTTACCAAACCTGTCAGACTCACACAAGGTAAGCAATGGCTCATTTCCAGTTGGTCTAGATTTTTAAAGTTGTTCTTATTCTCATTCAACTAGTTTTAGTTCAATATATGTTGAATAGGTTACAAAATTAGCATTATTCTAAAGTGAAATTTGAAATGGAAACAAACGGCACATTGTGTCTTGCTAATGGTTTATTAATGTTAGCATTTCTTTTGAATTTTTGCTTTTATTTTCACCTGGTTGCCTTGAACATTTTTGACAGTTAATCAATAGATTCAGCCTGCACATCAGTAACATGCATTTCTGAATACCATTCCACTTATCAAGAGAATTAGTCATCGAGTGGCTCCAGTGGACAAATGTTTCAGCTATTATCAGACTGGATGGACTGCTAGGTTCTAAAGTTAGAAGAAGGCATATATAGTAAGTAATAGCTAAGGCCTTTGCTTAAATTCAGAATGACTCTGCGTCAGATATATATACCATTTCACAGATAAGATTGCATTTCAAAAACTAAAATAACCGTGTAACCATTTTGTGTTAACAATTATAAAGGTTTGTTTGAACATCCCTTTAAAAAACTTGACCTTACACTACTCTTGAGCTATTTAAGGCTGTCCACTTTGGAATCACATCAGTGTATATTTGTGTTATACATGGGGTCCGGAAATTGCACGATGATAATGATGAGGGCTTGCTTGAACTTCCATATGAAGAACTTGACCTTGCCCTGCTCTGTTGGACTATTTCAGGCACTCCAGAATCGCATTGCTCTTTATTAGTTGTATACATTGGGAACATGTGATGCTACAGAAATGTGATGGTTTGTTGGATTCTCTTATTTTATCTTATTAACAGCAGCTGTAACTATTTAAAAAAAAATTGTTAAAGATAGCAGATTTCAAGCCTGGTGCACCTAAGCATATATTTTGACGTTTAGCTATGAGTAATTTGTTTAATATCAATTCGAGTAGGCTATTAAGGGATAGTGATCATGTTGATCCAGATGAGCTGATTTGCAGTCCACTCCCCTGTTCGCAATCTGTGCATGACAGGGCTGTACAGTGCGACATATATCCCGTGCGAATAGGGCTTAATACTGTCAAAAACACACAAGGTTTATATTTAACAGTTGGTTGTCTAAATGAAAGTAAACAGTTGAGAGAGAAAGGGATGCGTGCAGCTCTTAAAGCGACAGTACTAAACATGCTGACGCTTGTCATTAAAGGAATAGTTCACCCAAAAATTTAATTTCTGTCATTATTTGCTCACTCACGTTGTCCCTAACCTGTATTAATTTCTTTCTTGTGCTGAATGAAAAAAAAACAATGTTTGGAAGAATATGGGTTACCAAACGGTCTTATTTTTTTAATAGACCCTTTCACATTTCCGGGTTTCTCAGCAGCGGAAGTCATCATAGATGGGTAAATCTGTAGTGGTGAATGGGAGACTACCACAAATATATATATATATATATATATATATTGCATTCCCATTTGTTCAAATAGCAAAAGAAAAACTCCATGATAATGTTTTCATGACTTAAAAAATAAATAAATAAATAAATAAAGAGAGACTGGTAATGACAGTCAGAAGAGAGAGCAATGTCAAATTTACCGTCACTCCCATAGACAGTATTAGAAACACCCTCACATTAGCGTTAATTAGTTTTTTTGTAATTTGATGCAGAGGTAGCCTAATATAATACAAAATATAGTGTTATAAATGTACATAAATTAAAAAAAAAATGAAAATGTTAAAAACTTTGGAGGATTTATGATGCTGATGACCACTGAAATGCGTCATCACAGTCTTGTGAAAAGGGTCCATAACAAAGATAAAATAATGACAAGGATCTTTATCTTCGCCCACTTTTGCCTAAATGTCTGCCATTCTTTTTTATTTTATATTTTGTATTTTATTATGTTTCTGCACTCTTCCATTTTTAGCAAATAAAGGAAAATGTAGCTTGTACATAACAAATTGTTTTGTTTAAAACATGTTTTACGATGGTTTGTATTTTTTGTGCAAGTTGGAACATCAGTGTTTGTGATGAACTCCATTACTTGTGTTTGTTTTCAGACATGATAGCAGACGTTTTGTACTTGTGCTACAACTTTTTGGCCTGTGCTACAAAATTCTCTGTAGCACCAGTGCTATGTGCAAAAAATGTTAATGTACTGCATGACAATAACATGAGACAGCCAGCGAGAGGACAGCTGTCCAACGTGCCACCCATGCGACTTTCAATACATTTGTCTTAATGAGGCGTCATTAGTCCTCAACAGACTTAATGCCCGTAAAGTATGCCTTTTTAAACTCAATTTAACTAAAACATTCGAGTTGCATTCAAATAAAAGCAACTTGTAGCTTCTGAACATCCCCGAAATCCAGAGTTTCACTGTGAAGAAAATGATGTTTCTATTTTAAATTCCCCGGATGTCTTATTAAGCAGTATTAACTGCTTCTTTTTTGTCTTGTCCGTTTTCTTTGGACTGGCGATGACAGTCGGGCAGGTGACAGCTGTGCTGTTTTGTGTTGTAGCAGAAGTCAGTGAGTGGACGCGTTGTCGTAGCGCTTGACATTTACATCACAAAAGCTGCGGACAGACACACGCGCGCAGCGCTCTTTACTCCACGCGACACGCGAGAGCTCCACACAAACACAGTGTCCGTCGTGTCCCAGCGTTTCCAATCGATTGGATATAAGTTTGAGTTTTATTTTCCAAACCTGGTAGGTGAAACTGCTTTATCTTCAATATTTTACCAATGATTCGCCTGTTACGCTGTAGACTTGCGGTTTTGTACTCCAAAGAAGGTTATTGATTAACCGTTGAACGCCGTTTACTAATTCCGTTGTGCTGGTTAATGTGTTTGAAGAAAAATGATAAATTCATGTTAGAATAAAGTGATTTGATTTATTATCTCAAAAATCTAAACTATAGCTGACTATATTAAACATAATATAGCCAAACTTTACTGTAATTGAGCCCTGTTGTAAATGTTTGTAAGTTAGTATCTTAAGATACAGGTATTAACATGCTTTTTTTCGTTTATTTCATTAACGGATGTAGTAAATAGAGAGTTATTAAACGAATAACTTAAATACTATTTAATGTTCTTCACATACTAAAATGTAAAGTACTGTTAATGCTCTCATGAACGCTCTCAAAACACATTAAGGCTTAATGGAATAAAATAGCACTGGAATATATTTTCTCAGATCTTTGACCTTTGTAAACCCTTTTCTGACCTCATCATGTCCAGCCTGACCCCTCTGATGCCCCCTTGTGCCATATGCCTTTTTGATTGTTTAGTCTTTAGTTGTGTAAATAGAGGTTATAGTCTGTCATCAGTGATTTGACCTTATTCATTCTGTCTGTACCACATTTTTTAGGAAGTGTACAAACTGAATGTTTTGTTTTATTTGTTTTTCTGAGTGAATTCTTTGACTGGCCCATAACCATTACAGATATAGAGATTGTCCCCTTTAGATTATTTCTGAAATGAAGAATGTGTTTGATTTGTAAATTATTACAGTCTTTTCCTTATTCAGTCTCAAATATGTGGCTACATCCATGCTCTTGGTTGTGTTTATAATGTAGGTTTACCACATACAGTGGTGTGAAAAGGTTTTTGCCCCCTTCCTGTTTTTTTTAATTTTGTGCATATTTGTCACACTTAAAAGATTCAGATCATCAAACAAATTTTAATATTACACAAAGATAATGCAAGTAAATACAAAATGCAGTTTTTAAATGATGATTTATAGTACATGGACACTTTATGAGGTTCAGCTTTGACATGGTCATAATAGATAAAGTGTTTTAATTTAGGAAAGACCGCAACAAAGACACGGTGATATATGTACAGAGGTGAACCAGTGTTAAAAAGAGGGATTTTTATATTTTAGTGTCATATCCTGTCCTCTACTGTGCTGTAAGTCAGCAATGAGTCATACTGATCTTATATTCTCTCAGTGCTTTCTGTGCCAATGTTCATTATGAAATTGAAGTCTGGGTCATAATTCTCTGGCATTTTGACAGACTCTGCATTGATCCCCCTCTGCCCCACTAATCACAGCACTTTCATAAGGGCAGCGGGACAAAGTGTTATGAATGTATAGGAGGTATGTGTGCATTTCCTACTAATAGACAATCTTAGTTTAATCTCATTGTTTGAACTCTGATATGGCAAGATAAGCCATGATACGAGTTGCAATAAAGCATGTAAACAAGGACACAGATTCAGGCCAGACAAATGCTGTGTGACTTGCACTGATTGCTTTTGTTTGGCTTTATTATGTTTGATCCACACCCCTGTTTTGTTTCATTCAGATGCTCTAAAAGATGACCTTGAATGAATAAAGTCAAGTTTATGAAGATTTAATTACTCTTTCAACAGATGACTTTTCTTGAAGTAAACCTCTGCTTCATTCAGGGTTGCTGAGTATAGCGCTGGCAACTCCACCCGATAAAACTGTTGAAAAAGGTCACAGAAAATGTCAGCTGCCTTATAAACACTGTATATTTCACAAATCCTATGAGTTTAAATTTTTTTACCCCTTATTCTGGTAAAAAATGGCTTTACTGATGTAAATTAATGTAGTAAGGTGCGGTCTTGAATTCAGTCTTTTATGAATAATATTGTTTACTTAAAATAATTTCATTTAGAAGTTTCATAATAAAGCACTGTATAATTTCTCATTTTTTATTATAATACAGTGAACTTTCTTTTCTTTTGGAATTTTAATGCTGTTTTTCTGCTTGCGTGTGCTTTTTTCTCAGGGTGTATGCTGTGTTTTGGTCAGTCATCCTTTTTCCGCTTTAACCACCCAGAGGAGGCCCTCAGGATGAAGAGTTTGATGCCAGGTGGAAGCCCTGGATTTACCAGTACCTACAAGAACCACTCAGGTATATATGCAGAAGCAAAATTACACTGACCTGGAATCTGGTAGTGTAAGACAGCTGCTCTGGATGCAATGGGGAGTTAAAGTTGCTGAAGGCACTCAGAAAAAGAGAGAGAGAGAGCACTACATTTGCGAATAATGGTGCACATTCCGTTGATTTAATTACTAAACGTTATAGCAAATGGGGCACAGAGAGGCATTGTACCCTAGATAATTATAACAAGTTCCAGACACTGCTCAGGTGACACAAATCTGCCTAAAATAACTCGGCCTAATCCTCCCTCTTTAATATCCATGTTATTGGAGAAAACTCCAGCTGTATCTTTGCCCATTTTAAACACTGCTCTCACTCATTCAGCACTGACTCGTTTCAAAGAGTCTAGAATCCAGGAAGTGAGATCCTTGAGAAATCGCTTTGAAAAGAATGGGAATTTGAATGGCCACAACAAGCACTCTGTCAACTGCTGGAAGTCCCCTGTTGGGTGACCTTGGCTTTGACCCTGTTAGTTTAGAATCCTTGAACACCAGATTGGACATTTTAAGGCAACATGGCACCATGACAGTGATGAATATAACATTGTTGTTATGCCAGTGTGGGTGTTAACTGCCGAGTGCATCACTGTTTTTCTGATGACCCTATAGGTTTTTCATTCATTAATTAAAAAAAAAAAGTTTGAAATGGCTCTTTGGTCTGATTATATTGTCTGTACTTGGAAAATAAACCTCAACTTACTGTGCATTTTGATAATAAAAAAATGCATTATATTTAACAATATGGAACACACTTGCAATTTGCAAATTGGTTGTACAAATAAAATTATTTTTCGCCTCACAAGCTATGAGCAAACAGCAAACGAGCTGTTCCTTATGAAGCAGTGTGACAAAAAAAATTTCATTACAGAAAGGTCATTAAATGTATTTTTCGGTTCAGTGAACATACCAAATGTTTCCAGTCATTTTGTTTATTAAAAGTTCTTTTTTTTTTGTTCTACCACATCTACAGGTATCTTTAAATCCATCTTTCAGGCACCGTCCCACAGTTTCAGTTGCTCATTTCTTCATTTGACTTAATCTTAAAATTCTACATTTTTAAATTCTTGTGAATTCTTAGCCACTTTTTTCAATGGATTCAAGAAAATAACAACTTTGGATGGCTGTGGTGCAGCTTCTGCTCTGACTGCTGCACAGTATAAACATAGTATTCCAGAAATCTCAAGAACTACTTGTTTGTTTGGTAAAATGACAGTAACTTTTTTAATATGTTTATTTCAAAATAAAACAATATTTGTGGGGTCACTTCCCTTATGTGTTGTGAGCTCATGTTCTCCCCACTGTGCCACAGCTCTGACTAAAATAGCATGTTTATTGCGTGGTTACTGCACCGGTGGCCCTGGCTGTAGAGAGCGAGCAGAACTGAGTGCATTCAGCTGGTCTTGAGTGTGCAGAATGAGTCATGCCATAATTCAAGCTCCATTCTCTTTTGTCCGCTCTGACCTTTGGGCTGAGGGTGGGATTCTTGCCATCCACAGTCTGTAGGCTGAGAGACACACCCAGAGTGTGTAAAAGAGGGGGAGGTGTGTGTTTGTATGCATTTTACCCAGCCCTGTCCTGCATGGGTTTATAGCACATGTGGTATGAGGGAAATATGGTCCTGACAGTTTTAAATATAGAATTTCAAATCCATGTGATTGCCAGATTTGAGAGATAGATGTCTGATTTAGGTTTTGATGTTGTTCAGTTAAAAATAGCTTGTATGTAGTCAATTATTTTTTATATAATGGGTTGTAACAAGTTCAATATAAAAAGTATGGTTCTGGATAAAATAAAAAAAGGATAAAATTCATACGTTAAAGAAATTTGAAAGGAAATTAAAATTAAAATGTTTTAAAGTCTGTTTTAACCTTCATAAAAAATATATTGAATGTATTTTTTTATGCATGTATGAAGAAGCCCTCACATATGTTTGGGGTCTGAAGAAGTCTTTTATTTTCACCAAGGCTGCATTCATTTGATTAAGAATGCAGTAAAACAGTTATATTGTGAAAAAATTCTTATTTAAAATAAAAATTTTCTTCATTAATATATTTTAAAATGTATTTTTTTTTCCTGAAATAGCAAAGCTAAATATTAATCAGCCATTACTCCAGTCTTCAGTGTCACATGATGCTTCAGAAATCATTCTAATATGCTGATTTGGTGCTAATATGTAACATTTCTTATTATTATCAATGTTGAAAACAGTTGTGTTTCTTAATTATAGAAACTGATATTTTTTCAGTATACTTTATCCTTTGTAACATTTTGTAACGTGTCCATATAATGTCTTTGCGGTTTCTTTTGATCAAACGAATGCATCCTTGCTGAATAAAACTTTTGATCCTTTTGAAAAAATTTTTTTGCTAAACCCAAACTTTTAGATGATAGTGTATATATTTTTTAAAAATCACAAATTTTGTTAACCTGGTACATATGTTGTATGAGTCTGCTACATTTGATATCAATTAAAATTTAGGATCATCAAGTGATGTTGTTTATTCTTCACAGAAACCCATGGGCAGCTCAATGGAAACCCCCTTCCTTTGCATGAGCGACCTCGTCCTGGACACGGCACTCTTGTGCGCTCTATTGAGAAGGATCTTCAGGACATTATGAATTCTCTGAATATGGATGAAGGCCAGACTTCCTCATCTCAGCAATGTAAAAAAGCCCGCCACCCCATTCCACAGTCTGCCATGCTCAACGGGAGCGGCCACAGTCTTGTCTCCCATCCAACCAGTCCTGGTATTTTGTCCGTAAGCTCCAGCTATGAAAATACCAGTCCTCCTTTCTCCCCCCTCTCCACCCCTTCTGTGGTTAGCAGTCCAGGGGCTTGTTTGGACTCCACTAATACCCGTTCCACCAGCTACACCCACACCGTCCAGGCCCCGGTGCCACAGCCACGCACTTTTGCATCCAAAGCCAGCAGTTCCAACGGAGGGCTAAAGGATCAAGAAAGTTCCAGGCTTCAAAAAGCCTTGACTGAAACCCCCTCAAGCCCAGCGACAAACCGTAGAGGTGAGAGTCCACACCTGACCCATGGTTCATCTTCTAGCCCTAGATCCAGTGTTGGCTCATCAGTCCAAGAAACTTCTTCCAGTCTTCAGCCCCATTCACGTGCACTCCTTCCTCCAGACAGTCCCCAGTCAACCCGTCGTGGTGTAGAACCATCCAGCATGCGTGAACTTCCTCCTCTCAGCCCGTCCACAGCACGCAGAGGTGTCCTTGGGGTGCCAGTTCTCCCTGGAGCTCTGCCCGGCATTCCTTTGACCTCTCGTGGCCGGACTGTACCAGAGAGTCCTCGTCTTCAACGACGAACCACGGCTGAGGAAGAAGTAGGAAGTACGAAATTGCATGCCAGAAGTCCATCTCCTGTATCTGCTCTTTTGAAGGACCAGTCTTGCGGTAAGCAGAAGGGGGGTCTCTCCCCAGCTCTAGGCTCTCAGACAGGTGTCTCTCCCCTCACTAGTCCCCGTAACCAGAGAAAGAACTCCAGGGAGCCTCGGCAGGTTCAGCCGCGCACACGGGAACGCAAGAACAGCATTTCAGAGGTCAGCGACAAAGAAGAAGACCTGCTGGAGTACCATCGCTGGCAAAGAGAGGAAAGGATGCGTGAGCAGGAAATGGAGAGGCTGGTATGTCTGAGCATGTGTATATTTACAGTATTTGTCAAAGGTTTGGACACACTTACTCATTAAGTACTAGTTTTACTATCAAACTATGAAATAACAAAATGGAGGTAAAATACCATTTAAAAGTGTGGGGTCAGGAATTTTATTAAAAATAAATTAATACATTGATTTAGCAAGAATGCATTTAATTTATCAAATGTGACAGTGAATTTATAATGCTACAAAAGATTTCTATTTAAAATAAATGATGTTCTTTTGAACTTCCCATTCATCACAGAATCCTAAAAAAAATGCATTATGGTTTACATAAAAATATTAATACTAAAGTAATGACTTCTGAAAATTCCGCTTCGCCATCACAGGAATGAATTACATTTAAAAATTATATTAAAATGGATTTAAAAGTTATATAAAATTGTAATAATACTTGACAATAACACTGTTTTACTTTATTTTGATCAATTAATGCAGGTTATTCCATGTTAAATCAAAATTATATTTTGCCATTTTATTTTAAGGTTTTTACTTTTTTTCTGTTAAAACTCATTTAAATCTTAGTTTTGTAAATTTCTCTTCAAAACAAATTTAAATCATTTAAGCAAAATGCTTTAGATCAAAAGGTTTTCAAGATCATGAGACATAAATTGAGTCATAAATTGAGTCAACTCTTAACTAGTTTTCAATAAGAATAATTTGATCCAGATGCCCAAATGCTGTTGTGGGATATGCTGAAGTGTTTTTTCACTTTTCTAATTAAATCTAAATATGAGTTCTGGCACTAATAAAGTCATAGTTTGTCTAAGCGAATGCAGTAGAGTGCACATAGATTGCTGTAGAGGACTAATGAGAGTATTTGTTTGATGAGGCTTTGAATGTCATTGGCTTTTGGTGTGGACTTAAGAGTTCAGCGGGTGGAGTTTATATGGAGACAGTTTTCTGGTAAAGACATAGAGCAGTCAGGAATAACACGCGGATGTAAATTCCTGAGGCCTTTTTAAAAGCTCATGTGCAGAACGTGTGGCTGCCCAAAGACTATATTTACCCGACACAATCTCAGTGCTTTGAGCTGCCCTCCTCCTCATATGCACACACACATACTGTCCTCCTTTAACAGTCTAAACACTCGTCTATCATGATGTGGAAAGATTTGCATTACGCCGCCCAAATGTTCACGCAGAGAAAGAAGGCGTAACTTTTATTCTCGCTGTAGTATTGTTGTTACACCACATTATGGACGAGAAGCTGCAAAAGACACATGCGCAAGTGGAATGAACAAAACATGGTGACATTAATTTTGAAGTAAATGTAATGGGCGATATATTGTGTCACCAAAAATTATTGCGGTCATGTACATATATTGCGTGATAATTCGATATATTGATTATTGCGACAGGCCTACTCGTCGCTCCGGCCGGACAGGGCATCAAAATATGATAAGGAGTGTAACATTTCCGTCACACGCTTGAGGTATTCGGCCAATCACAATGCACTGGATAGCTGGCCAATCAGAGCACACCTCGCTTTTCAGACTGACGAGCTTTGTAAAAATCGACGCTTTTCAGAAAGGCGGGGCATAGAGGAGAAACAATAATGTACAGTATGTGGAAAATAATGTTTTTTCTGAACCTTAAACCGCATAAACACATTTCATTACACCAAATACACCAAATAATGTTCTTTTTAGCAACCCTTTAAAAATAATCCAGAACACCATAAAACTGTTATACTTTCAAATAGATAGTTAAATAAATAAATAAAACTGAATGCACCAATATTATAATTCTGGCTCATACCACAAGCTGATATTACAATTCTTTGCTATTTTGTCTAAATAAATAAAAAATAAGTTTTAAGTTGTTTTAAATGCGAAGGTTATTTATATATTTAAACTAATATTTAAATATGAATTCACAATATGGAAATTGATATAAAATGTAAAAATTACATGTACTAAATTATTAAATGATTGTGTTTGCAAGGGTAATCCAAATATAAAGGAATTGAATATCAATATCTATATATAAAAAAATCTCTAATGTTGTGCGAAAACATATATGATACTAATATATTGTCCACCTCTAAATAAAAGCAAAGCAAATAGCAAAAAATCAATTAATAAGATATTAACAAATAAGATTGATGTATTTACTCTTATTTAACCACATTTGTACACAAGATACTAGGGTTGGAATGGTTCAACTTACTCAAGGTTCGGTTTGTATCACGGTTTTAGAGTCACAGTTTCGGTATTGTTCGGTATGTGTTATGTTTAGGCAAAAATTATACTGTCAAATAAAAAAAATAATAAAATGATCTATCTTAACTACAAGCAAATAACAACACAAATAAATGCAATAGGGTAAAGATACAAATAAAATAAACAGTGATTTTCAGTTTTTTTTTTTGGTAAGTCTAACATTAGTTTTCAGGTACAGAAATTGAATAAAGTAATGAAATGTAAAACAGCATTGCATATTTGACTGTATGAATTAAAGATTAACCTTTATTAAAGTTACAAAAGCTATTCAATCAAGAGAAGTGAGTGATTTCTTTGTTGTTGCTGTTTGATTAATATTAAGAAAGTGCTGTCACTTTAAGAGAATGCACTGATACAGTATGTTCAGCCAGCTATGTCTGCCATAGGATACTTACCAAGACGGGCATTTTTACATAATTTTTGTGTGAATTTGTCCATTTAAACACAATACTTAAGAGAAAGCTTAAAGGGGTCATATGATGCTATTTTAAAGATCATTATTTTGTGTATTTGGTGTAACAGAATATGTTGACATGCTTTAATGTTCAAAAACCACATTCTTTTTCAAATACTGTACATTATTGTAGGTCCTCTATGCCCCGCCTCTCTCAAACGCGTAATTTTTCAACAAAGCCCCCTCCTTTGACAAGCGCAGTCTGCTCTGATTGGCCAGCTGACCCAGTGCATTGTGATTGGCCAGACACCACAAGCACGCGTCGGAAATGTAACGCCCCTTACCATAATCGCGAGCGTCAGCTTTCAAAGTAAATATCAAGTTTTACCTAAATAGTTAGTTTTACCATCAGTTCAAGCCCGAAAGGGCAACAGTTTCTGTCATGCGACTGACAGACACAGTGATGATGCAGTACACAAGCCGCGGTTAAGACGTGCTATGATTTCTGACAGGCAGTTCACTCTCCTGTGATGTGACCCTGTTCCCCTCACACACACACACACAACGCGTTACTCTATGCTGCGCAAAACTCCGCATTTGAACAGTCAATAGCAAATACTTAAACTAATAACAAAACATACTTACAGTCGCTGATTTAGAAGCGCCAGATTGTCATAGCAAAGTCAGAATTTACCCTTTTTTGTTTTTTTTATAAATATCCTTTGTGCACAGCCAGCCTTGTACTCTTCTAGGTTAAAACAACTGTTGTCCATAAAATGCGTTGCACAAATTCGAACATCTGGGTTGTGCTGTTCTGTTGTAAATAAATCTTAACCAATGATTCCTAATTGCATCTACTTCCGGAAGGCCAAATAAAGTGCTTTTGCTTTAGCACTGAAACACAGCGTCTCCCTGACATGGCTGCATCAACACTACTGCTGTTCCTGAAACCATGCCTTCTTTCTTTGCGTGCACATTTGGGTGGCATTATGCTAATATTTCCACATAGTGACGTAGATATGTGGGGGCGTGTTAGAACGAGCCGTTTTAGGTAGGTGTGGCTGACTCTTACATTTTATAATGAAAATATATCTTTGGATTTGAGACTTTAGTCTTTGCAACTTTACAGATCTTCTTTATGCACCAAGAGCTTGTAACACTCCAAAGAGAAAGGAAAACTTGAAATCGCATCATATGACCCCGTTAATATTTGCGGGTGTTCTGAGGCGCGGGTTTGCGCGCTTCGGATGAGCGCACGCACAAATCTTCTCATTGCGCGCGCAAGCTCGTGTCCTCTGGCTCTTAAATGTTTAAACTGGCCAAGCTTAAATGAGTTTAGCTTAAACACATATATCAACGTGTGCTGTTCAGGTCTCACCTGTGCGCGTGCGCTATCAGCACCCGGGTGATGACGGAATAAATGCTCATATTCCAGCATACGGCAGTCGCATTGAACAAGAATGAATGGTTTGTCTACGTTTTTTTTTTTTCATCGCTGTTGTAATGCATTGGGAAGCCAGAATGCGCATCCATCAACAGAAAAATATTAGCCGACCCCTGTTTGTTTTACGTGTTATTTATAGCAAACCATATCACAGATGCTTTGTCAGATTTAAGTTGAACCGCGATCCTAGCACGTGCGTGGAGAACCTTACGGTTCGTTTTTTTTCTTCAGCAAACCGTTCCACCCCTACAAGATACACTATGAAAATAACTATTCACCTTCCAGTATCACCAGAAATTAATGGGCAAAACACATGACGTGATATAACAGCCTTAACTGGACAGCTTGTTAGAATCTGGATCGGTACACAAACTGCACAAATATCCTATGGCTGTGTGTCTGCGCTCCCTCTCGAGCCACAATATGCTCATGGCAATAAAGGGTTTACACACTTACTGAACAACCATGATCATTATGATGCACCTCTGCTCCTAGGCAATTAAAATGCATGGAATTCATTTATTTGTATGTCTGTCTTTTGCTTTCTACTCTTGCTTAAGTGCTTTTTTACTAAATCTCCTCACTAATTCACTGATATGGTAATGAACTGAGCGAATCGCCTCATTGTTTTGTATCTTTGTACACTTTATAACCAATAAGCACCAAACAGAGGATGTGTATGAAATGTTTTTTCAGGAGATGCATTGAAAAAAAGTGTGTTCCATACAGCAAACATTGTTTGGCAGACGGAGTGATCTTCTTCGGCATGTCATTGAGGAACATTTGTCTGTCTGCTTGTTTGTTTCCCCCATCTGTTCGTCTGCCTCTGTCTTTCCCTCTCCGTCTCTGTCCATCTGTGCATGTGTGTGTCTATAGAAGGTGGAGGCACTGGAGTCGGCCACTAAGCGCTTTGAGGATTTGGAGTTCCGCCAGTTGGAGCGAGAGAGTGGTTTTTTTGACTTTGTAATGTTTCAATCAAAATGTCAGTCTTCCTGTGAAATGACAGACTTCTTTCTGGTGAAGTATGCTGGACAATCTCCAATTCTTTAGTCCACTTATGATGCAACTTCAGTTTTAGCTTTAAAGCAGCTATAGTGTCAATAGTGTCATTTAGCTCATGTAGATTAAATTTTTTCTAGTTATATCCAATTTTACAACTTCATTGCCATGACAAAGTAACTCCATACACACCATAACACTAAAATGAACCTGGTGTATATACATATATGTATGTATATATATATATATATATATATATTTTTTTTTTTGTTGTTGTTGTTGTTGTTGAACCTGGGATATTCCTTTAATGGTAAATTTTACCCTGTATACTTCTTTCTCTTTAAGGAAAAGGAGAGACTGTCTGCCCTGGAGAAGAGATACCAGAGCCTGACCGGTGAAAATACTTTCTCCAAGCCTGCCAACTCGAAGGAGGTAAGAGCATTCAATTCAACAGCCATGACTTTAATTCACCAATGGGTAATTGACCCGTTTTTGGTTGGCAAACAAACTACTTTGTAACTCTAAGCTGGTAAACAGACGGTATAGAGAAGCCTTGTGATCTAAACTCATAGAATCATTATAATTCATGAGATATCTGTGCTGTTTCTCAGTATTTAGTGCATTGGTTTGAAATAAACGTATTGTTGTGTACATCTGGATGGTGGTGGTGTCCGTGGGGATAGACTCATCTCCTGCTTAGCAGTGATGAGCACGTTTTTTCTGGGTTATCACCATCGGCGATAAGCTTCATGTCGATGCCTCTTTGATCAGCCATAAAATATGTAGAGGGAATCTGAAGAAGTTTGATAAGACAAATAATGGTATAAAAATGTTCTTTGGCATGGTTTGTGCAACACTGTCTGTTCGGTGCTGTCTGACTTCGGTGTTTATATTCAAAACAGGAAGCGCTTTACATCAGTGAACCTGACCTTTTAGATGAACTCCCAACCCAGAATGATCTGCTCCCCTCATCTTGTTGTCAAAGATTTACCCCTCAAATATATTCTAACAGGCCACAGGAGGTAAAAGCATGACCCCAGGACAGCTGTGAGGGATTTACAAACTAACAATACCATTATGTCATTTGCACTTATGTGCTTGTGCAGTTCAGTCATTTCACCCTTCATAAAGAACATGTGTCTGTGTGGCTGATGAGTAGAGATGGGAATTGTAAAGAATTTAATGATTATGGTTCCTTAATGGTTCCACTAACGATTTTGTTAGTACTAAAAGAAATGCAATTTCATTATCAAATGATAAGATGGTTTCAGTAATAACAACAACAACAGTACTGAACAAATTTCATTCATTTATTTTTATGGAATACTACTGACAAAACGCACAGTCATATAAAAACCAGTCAGTCACTACACTGATTTGTAATGTGCTTGACTTCATTAAAATGAATGACTTGGAGTCCTATATTTGGTGCTTTTTCAGATAAGTAGTAGTGTTGTGGAATAATTAAATAAATATTGCAGTAAATGTATTCCACCCACATGCATGTGTAAGAACCATCTGTAGAACTTAATGACTTTTTTTTTTATATCAAACCCGCTCTAAGTAAGAATCGTTTTTTGGTTCCCAACCCTACTGATGTGTATAGACATTATAACCTACAGTACCATACATTACCAAACGTTTGGGGTCAGTAAGAATATTTTAATGTTTTTGAAAGAAGTCTTTTGTGCTCACCAAGGTGCTGCATTTATTGTTCAAAGATACAATATACAATAATAGTAATATCGTGAAATAGTATTATAATTCAAAATAGCTTTATTTCTCCCATCTTTAGTGTCACATTATCTTTCAGAAATATTACCAATATGCTAATTTGGTTCTCAGATTTCTTATCAATGTTGCAAACAGTTGTTCAAAAGAACAGTATTTATTTGAAATATACATTTTTATAGTAATGTAAATGTCTTGACTGCCACTTTGGATAAATTTAATGCATCCTTGCTGAATAAAAGTTAATTTCTTTCTTTCAATCAATCAGTCATTAAGATAAATAAATACTGACCCTAAACTTTTGAATGGTAGTGTAAATATGAGTTGTGTAGTGTCAAGACCTGGAGTTGATGGGTATTTGTGATGTTCATTTTGTGGTTTTCATTTTGTGTGAGACTTTAATATGCACATTGTGAGTGTTGTTTGCCTCAATCTAGAATATTGTCTGTTATTTTCAGGCCATTTATGAATGGTATGGTCACATATCATAGTACTGGGATATGGTGGACATTGACATTCTGTGTCACACATGCTGTATGTGTACATTGGAGATGTTGAAATGCGTGGCATGTTTGTAATGTGTTGGGCACAAGTATGCTTTTTCCAGTGGGTGCATGAATATTTCTAGTGCAGTTCAAGTTTCATTTGAGATATGAACTGATATCCTTTGTGGATGTGTGTACGGATGGATGAATGTGTGTGCTCAGGAGTACCTCAGACTCTCTGATGTATATAAGATGTATGGGAACGGATGTATCCCCGCCCAGACTGCCTTCCATAACGCTCTTTGTCTACCGCTGGCTGTAACATCAGACACACATCGTGAGGTATGACTCCTCCACTCACTTTTTCATCCATGACAGAACCTTTTTCTTTGCCTCACCACCTCCTGTTTCCCTTTCCAATACCATTTCATTCCTAGTTTGTGGCTTTTCTTTTTATGATGCTGTCAGGATAACCCACTGGCTGTCTTCTCTTGGAACTCTTATTTTTCATTTCTTCCTGTCTCTTTCTCTTTCCAGCTGTCTTTGTCGTTGTTATATCCTCTGCCTTTGCTATGCCGGCTTAATGCTTTTGTATACATAAAGTGCCCTCATTACATTTTGTGTTTGTGTGTGATGGTTTGATTGTATAAAGGAGTATGTGACAGTCAGTCAGTTAAACCAGCTGTTCGGGATGCCCAAAGTTGACCCCTCCCCCACATCTTCAGTCCAATCATTCCAAGCTATTGTCGCTGACCCTGTCCACTCCAGCCACACATCCCAGTGTGGCTCCTCCCAGTCACTTCCTGTTGAGGTGTGTGTTATTTCCTGGTGTTGATGTGTTTGTAGTTTTATTTACGATAGCTTGTGTCAATCTGGCTTGTTCTTGTTGAATAGAGAGAGATGAATGAATGGTTCTGTGGTTTTATGAGACATACTTTTAATTTACGACTCCATACTTTCAATGCATGTATCTCTTCTTTCCTTGCTGTATCAATTTTTCCTCTTTTTCCCATCCATCCTCCCTTTACCTGGACTGCACTTCAGACCCAGCCTGCATGGAGTAGGCCCTCAGTCCCCAGGCTAGATTCAGAGCGCTGGTATCAGGAGATTATGGCAGCTGGGGAGCCCAGTCATGCCTGTCCTCCCCCTCTGCCAGCTAAGTGTATCTCCTCACGTAAACCTATGCAGGTAAACTCTCTTCATTTGTCTGTCTTCTCTTCTGCTTGCATCCTTATTCTTTTTCTGTCCTTAAGTTATCTGTTTTTGGTGTACCTTTCGTTTTGAATCTCGCCAGATATAACTGCCAAATTAATTTCAGTACTTTTATGTAAAGTGCTTGAGGTTCGGTCTTTGTTGCTGGGTTTGGTTGCTTTGGTGTGGTCTTCTTCCTTGCTGTGGGGGCAAGTTGCCATAGTTGTCATTTTGGACGGAAAATACGAATAAATGAGTGATGAATAACACGGAGATATTTTGTTGTCAGATCTATAATCAGGAAAGTGAGCTGGGACAGACCAACGGCACCTTTACACCCCCGCCTTTCAGTATGACCACATCAGGCAGAAACACACCCACCAAAGTAAGACGGTTTAAATCATAACCTCTGACTGTTGTAAAGAGGCCACAATATACGGTCTGCATTTTTGAAAAAAACTTTTAGGGATAGTTCACCCAAAAATTTACATTTTGTCATTAATTACTCACCCTCATGTCGTTCCAAACCCGTAAGACCTTTGTTAAGCTTCGGAACACAAATTAAGATATTTTTTATGAAATCCAAGAGCTTTCTGACCCTGAATAGACAGCAACGGCACTACCACATTCAAGGTCCAGAAAGGTAGTAAGAAAATCAATAAAATAGTTCATGTGACATCAGTTGTTCAACCATAATTTTATAAAGCTACGGGAATCCGGGTCAGTACGACGACTGATGCTTGTGCTTTCCTCTGCTTGTAAACAAGGCACAGCGCATGCATGTTATACATAAGAATGTATGCGTTGTAGTACTCGTGGCCTCATGAATGGCGGCGCAAACTGACCCGGAAGAGAAGAAATCATTTAATAAAGTTGTTATTTTTCTTTGTGCACAAAAAGTATTCTCGTAGCTTCATAAAATTAGGGTTGAACCACTGATGTCACATGGACTATTTTAACCATGTCCTTACAACCTTTCTGGGCCTTGAACGTGTCAGTTGCACTGCTCTCTATTAGGGATATAATGATTAACCGTGAGCCGGTTGAAAATCGATTTAAATATGTGATGATTAAAATCGGTTGAGATGCTAAACAAATCGCGATTCAGTTAGGGGAACTTACTGTCTTTAGAAAAGTTTAGATGGTATTTTTTCTTTTCATCTTGCCTCTGTATAAAGCATATTAAAGTTCATAAGTGCAGCACTGTTTTGTTTACAGCAGAAACCAAGGAAACACTTTTAGCGCCACCTGCTGGCAGAGAGTGAATCTGCGTCTCATTCATCTCGTTCGCTGTTTCTGTTTCATACAGATATTATTTTATGTATAGTTTCACAAAACTGAAGTCAAACCATTCTGTTTTTGCTTCAAATTTCGAAATTATACAATCTAATTTAGAT